ACAAGAAACAACAAACAAGGAACCATGGCCTCCCCAAAAGGAGCTCATGAGACAGATGAGCTCATACTTATCGCTAATAGCACTGGAAGTAAATGGTCTCAGTTCTCTAACTACGAGGCATAGAACGGCTGATACAGTTGAATATGTGTCCCCTCCAAATCTCATGTTGGAATTTGATCTCCAACACTGGAGGTGGAGCCTAATGGGAAGTATTTACATCACAGGGACGGATCCCTCATGAATGGCTTGGTGTCATCCCCTTGGTGATGACTGAGTTCTCACTCTGTTCATGCAAGAATTGGTCGTTTAAAAACAATCTGCACTTCCTTTCTCTCTCTTGCTCCCTCTTTTGCCGTGTGACAAGTCTGCTCCCTCTTTGCTTTCTGCCGTGGATGGAAGAAGTCTGAGGCCTTCACCAGAAGCAGACACAGGTGCCTTGCTTCTTGTACAGTCTACAGAACTGTAAGCCAAACAAACTCCTTTTCTTTATAAGTTACCTAGTCTCAGGTATTCTTTATATTACTGGGGTGTCCAATCTTTTGGCTTCCCTGGGCCACACTGGAAGAAGAATTGTCTTCAGCCACACATAAAATATACTAGCACTAATGATAGCTGATGAACTTTTAAAGAGAGCAGAAAAATCTCATCATGTTTTACGAAAGTTTATGAATTGTGTTGGGCTGCATTTAAAGCTGTCCTGGGCTGCATGCTTCATAACAATGCAAAACAAACCTAACACAGTGGCTGAATGGATACAGAAACAAGACCCAACTATATGCCACCTTTGAGAAATCCATTTCACCTATGAAGACACACACAGACTGAAAGGGAAGGGGTGGAAAAATAAATACCATGCAACTGGAAACGAGAAAAGACCAGGAGTAGCTATAATTATATCAGATAAAATAGACTACAAATCAAAGACTGTAAAAAAAAAAAAAGGACAAAGAAGGTCGCTATATAATAATAAAGGGGTCAGTTCTTCAGGAGTTTATCACAATTGTAAATATCTATGCAGCTAACATTGGAACTCCCAAGTAAAGCAAATATTAATAAATCTAAAGGGAGAGATAGACGGCAATACAGTAATAGTAAGAGATTTTAACACCCCACTCTTGGTAACAGATAGGTTGTCCAGACAGAAAATCAACAAAGAAATAATGGAGTTAAACTATTACACACTAGCCAGCCTGATTAACATGGTGAAACCCCGTCTCTACTATAAATACAAAAATTAGTCAGATGTGGTTATGGGTGCCTGTAATCCCACCTACTTGGGAGGCTGAGGCAGGAAAATCGCTTGAACCTGGGAGGCAGAGGTTGCAGTGAGCCAAGATTGCGCCATTGCCCTCTAGCCAGAATAACAAGAGCAAAACTCTGTCTCAAAAAAATAAATAAATATACAAATAAATAACACTACATACTAGGACCTGACATTTATAGACAATTTTATCAGCTGCTACAGAATACACATTCTTTTGATCAGCACATGGGATATTCTTCAGAACAGATCATATCCCAGGCCAAAAAACAAGTCTGAACAAACTCTAAAGATAGAAATCACGTCAAGTATCTTTCTGATCAAAATGGAACAAAACTATAATAAGAGGAACCTCAGAGAACACACAAACTCATGGAAATTAAACAACATGCTCCCGAATGACCGTCAGGTCAATGAATGAATATTAAGAAGAAAATTAAAAATTTTTTTGAAACAAATGAAAATGGAAATACCACATACCAAAATCTATGGGATATGGTAAAAGCAGTACTAACAGGAAAGTATACAGCAATCAGTGCCTATGTCAAAAAAGTGGAAAGACTTCAAATAACCTAATGATGCACCTCAAGGAACAAGAAAGGCAAGAATAAACCAAACCCAAAATTAGCACAAGGAAAGACATAACTACAATCGGAGCAGAAATGAATGAAATTGAGACTAAAAGGTGTACATCAGCAAAATGAAAAGCTGCTTTTTTTGAAAAGATAAACAAAATCGACAAGCCTTTAGCTGGACTAAGAAAAAAAGGGAGAAGACCCAAATAAATAAAACTGGAAATGAAAAAGGAGACATAACAACTGAAATCTCAGAAATGTGAAGAATCATTAGAGACTATCATGAAAACTGTACACCAACACATTAAATCAGGAAGTTAACATAGATTCAATACTGTAATGAATCTATAAGCCTTATTCTAATTTCACCAGTGCCTCTTTATTTACTGTTATTTTTCTGGCCCAGGATACATTCAAGATCCCCACATTGCACTTAGTTGTCACATGTCCTTAGTCTCTTCCAATTTTAGACAGCTCCTAATTTGGACACTTTTTTGTAAAACATTACTTTTCATCACAATGTTTGTCAACTTACGTCTGATATTTTTTCATCATTAGGTTGTAGTTACGCAGTTTGGGCATGAACACTACAGAAACCATGTTGTGCCCTTCTCAGTACATCTTATCAAGAGGTACAAGATGCCAATATGTCTTATGAGTCGTTGTGTTAATTTGTAGCATTTGGCTAAGGTGATGCCTGTCACATTTATTAACTGTAAAGTTACTATTTCCCCTTTACAATGAGTATCTTCTGGAGACATATTTTGAAACCAATCAAATCTCTTCTTTTTCATTCTATTTTTGCCCACTAATTTTAGCAGTTATTAACACCACTCCTGTTTAGAAAATTAAGAAGAGCAGCTCACTACCAGCCCTTATTTAATTTTACCCAAACATGCTCTTTGAGTTTGGAGGAAATCTGCCTGAGTCTCAATGTGAAAATAAATTATAGCTGGGTGCAGTGGCCCATGCCTATAATCCCAGCACTTTGAGAGGCCGAGGCCCGTGGATTACCTAAGGTCAGGAGTTCAAGACCAGCCTGGCCAACATGTGAAACCATGTTAATCTCTACTAAAAGTACAAAAATTAGCTGGGCATGGTGGTAGATGCCTGTAGTCCCAGCTACTCAGGAGGTTGAGGCAGAAGAATCACTTGAACATGGGAGGTGGAGGTTGCAGTGAGCCAAGATGACTCCATTGCACTCTAGCCTGGATGACAGAGCAAGACTTTGTCTCAAAAAAGAAAAGAAAAGAATAAAAGTGAGATATTTCACAGTAAAGTTATCTCAGGGTACACTGCAGCATCAAGCACCGCTGGTGGGTATTCTCAGGCAAGTGGGAAAGGGGTTAAAGATTGTTGCCAGCAATAATTATTACCATGGTGCTCCCCAAATGGCAATTTTTTAGTTCCATAATTTATTCTACCTTTATCCATTGGACTTTTAATGAGAGGAAGAGGAATCCTTTCTCCTCTATTTATTTATATCCGTGTGGACTCATGGATATTTATCTTATTCTATGTGTTGTAATTCACTCTTATATCTTCTTGTTTAAATTGTCCTAAACTTGGTCATTGAGTATTCCTTCAGGTTGGCTCTTGTCATGCCACCCATCATCTGTGTATTTTTTTTCGAATAACTGTGTTTTCTCCTGGCATGGGGTAACACTTTCTTGCTACTTCATATGCCTCTAGTAGTTTTTTCTTTTTCATGAAACTGATGGTGTTATAATGCCTAGTAACTTTTAATTGAAGGCATGGCATTTGTATATTGTATTTGGCAGTACCACGTTGTGTTACATTGCTTTAAAGAGTGTTTGGACTTGTTCTGACTAGTATTTAAGGCATTTTTAAACCTGTTCAGGGCAGGCCTAGATTTCTCTAGGGCTATCTCATCCATACGATGATTACCCTTCCAGAGTTTGTGCTAAACCCTCCATGTATTCAACAATGTCTCTCCACTCTGGCTTGTAGGAATTAAAATGGTTCCCAGCTGTGTGAGTTCTGAGAACAGTTTAGGGTAGAGCTCCCTAGAAATTTTTCTTTCCTTAGTAGTTCTTGTCCAGCCTTCTTCAGGTTTACTCTGTGACTGCACAGATTCATATTCAGCCAGATTCAACCATACCCATATGCAAATTTCTTGAGCTCTTTCTTCGTATAATTTTCTTTTCTACAGTACCCTGCCTCGCAAATTCTAACTGCCTTAAACCCCCCATGCAGTGCTACCTCATTTTGTTAATTTGTATTGCTCTTGATGGCTAATGATGTTGAGCTTGAGAATTCTTATGTATTCGAGATATGAGTCCTTTGTCAGTGACTGGAAATTACTTTCTTCTAGTATGTAGCTTGCCTTTTCATCTTTGTAAAGAGCAAAAGACTTTTACAGAGCAAAACCTTTTAATTTTTTTTTTAATTGAAACGGATCCTCGCTCTCTCACCCAGGCTGGAGTGCAGTGGTGCAATCTCTGCTCACTGCAACCTCTGCCTCCCAGGTTCAAGTGATTCCCCTGCCTCAGCCTCCTGAGTAGCTGGGATTACAGGCATGCACCACCAGCTAATTTTTTGAGATGGAATCTCGCTCTGTAGCCCAGGCTTGAGTGCAGTGGTGCAATCTCGGCTCACTGCAGCTTCTGCCTCCTGGGTCCCGGTTCAAGCAATTCTTCTGCCTCAGCCTCCCGAGTAGCTGAGATTACAGGCACCCACCACCATGCCCAGCTAATTTTTGTATTTTTAATAGAAGCAGAGTTATGTTGGCCAGGCTGGTCTTGAACTCCTGACCTTGTGATCCACCCATCTCAGCCTCCCAAAGTGCTGGGATTACAGGCATGAACCACCATACTTGACCTAAGCCTTTTAATTTTTCAAAAAAATTTTTCCAGGGTAATCATTTTCTTTCTTTTAATTTGCATTATTTTGAATGTTCACAGAAGCTTTATTCATTTCACTTTTTGATTGACAAATAATAATTGTACATATATATGTACAATTGATATATAAATGTTATCATGATTAGATCAGGACGATTAGCATATCCATCATTTCAAACACATCATTTGTTTGTGTTGGGAACATTCAATATCCCTCCCTAGCTATTTGAAACTATATATTGTTACTGAGTATAATCTTCCTACAGTGGTATAGAAGACTGTAACTTTTCAAAAATTTACCTTTGGCGGGGCATGGTGGCTCACATCTGTAATCACAGCACTTTGTGAGGCCGAAGCCAGCGGATCACGAAGTCAGGAGTTCGAGACCAGCCTAGCCAACGTGGTGAAACGCTGACTCTACTAAAAATACAGAAATTAGTTGGGCATGGTGGCAGGTGCCTGTAGTCCCAGCTACTCAGGAGGCTGAAGCAGGAGAATCACTTGAACCTGGGAGGCAGAGGTTGCAGTGAACCAAGATCACGCCATTGCACTCCAGCCTGGACGACAGAGCAAGACCCCATCTCAAAAAAAGAAAAATTTTACCTTTCATTTGTGTATTTTTAACTGAAAGTATATACATATAATTTAGCATTTCTACCATTTTTAAATGTACAGTTTAGTGTAATGAAGGTGTTTATTCCCCCTCCTTCCTCCCCACTTCCCAGTCTCTGGTAACCACCAATCTACTGTCAATGAGATGAAAAGGAAAGGGGTAAGATAGTTTTCACCTATTTTCTTCATTCTACAGGTTGTCTCTTCACTTTGTTGATTGTTTTCCTTGCTGTGCTGAAGGTTTTTTAGTTTGATGTACCATTTTGGGGCCAGGCATGTGGCTCACGCCTGTAATCTCAGCACTTTGGGAGGCTGAGGCAGGCAGATCACATAAGGACAGGAGTTTGAGACCAGGCTGGCCAACATGGTGAAACCCTGCCCTGCTAAAAATACAAAAGTTAGCTGGGCATGGTGGTGCACACCTGTCATCCCAGCTACTTGGGAGGCTGAGGCTCAAGAATTGCTTGAACCCAGGAGGTAGAGGCTGCAGTGAGCTGAGTGCACCACTACACTCAGGCCTGGGCAACAAGAGTGAGACTCTGTCTCAAAAAAATAAGAAAAGAAAAAAGGCAGCAGAGGTAGCAGTGAGCCGAGATTGCGCCATTGCACTCCAGCCTGGATGACAAGAGCGAAACTCTGTCTCAAAAAATATATACATGTTATTTTTGCTTTGGTTCCCTTTGCTTTTCATGTCTTACAAAAAAAAATATGTAGTTTCATCATTTCAGGTCTTGGATTTAAGTCTCTAATCCATTTTGATGTGGTTTTTGTGTGTGGCGGGAGACAGGGGCCTAGTGTCCTTCTTTCCAGGCCCATCCCCAGGAGATTTGGTAAGGACTGGGGCCTGGGACTCAGCATTTAAAACAAATATCCTAGGCAATTCTGATTCAGATGTCCCCTGACCATGCTTTAGAAAACTTGCCCTAGGTGAAGTTTGGCATTAAATTTCTCCCCTGGATCAGAATCAGTCCATGTTTCACCATCTGGTAGGGATTTTTGAAATGCCCCCAAGCCTAGCATTTCCAATATAAGGCTGGAGATGACATTGGAGCCATTGATGACAAACGTGGTGATGTGGAAGATCACAAATGGATCAGAGAGAAGATACTTGGGTTTTAGTCCCAGCCTAGAAGACTCTGACCAAGCTTTGCTTCGCATCTGTAAAAAATACAGTTAGACAGTTGCTGCCCCATCAACCTCAGCAAGCAGGCAACCACCAACCTAAACTTCCTGAATAACGGTCATGGGCAGTTGGGAGGCTTAGCTCCACCCATGTTGCCAGGGCAACCAGACCTCCTGAGCTGGGCCCAGCCTCTCAGACTCAGTGGCCAGTGTGACTGGGTCCAGAAGAGAGGAAACCTGGAAAGAGCTACTGAAGAAGCCTGCAGGAGTCCTGCTCCTGGCCCTTGAAGATGAAGAGAAAGGGAGACGGGTAGTCCCTTCAGGACTTAGGGAAGGAGGCCCTAACAGAAGTCCAATCAATGCAGGTCTTTTTGAAGACCTGAAGCTGTCTTTCAGAAACTGGTTCTGAAGAGGACTCACAGCTGTTTCCAGGCCTGGGAGAGCTGCCTTCAGAGGCTGCTGCTGGAGAGAAGGTCCTTCTGCTCTGTACTGGAGGGGAGAAGGCCATGTCACCATAGGTCTCCTGCCAGGGTTGGGCCAGGATTCTCAGCAAGAAGGTAGAAATGACCAGGGCAATGACGAAATGGGGATTCACACTGACCTATGAAAATATATCAAGATACAGTCGGACCAAAGCTCATTAACACAGAATAAAACTGCGAAACTAAAAAGTAGTGGAGAGGGAATAGACAAATATAATCCCAAAGAAATTGCCTCCAAACGCTGGAGTAACTGTACACAAAATGTAGCACTGAGCTGGGCAGCCGAAGCAGAGAAGGAAGCAGAGGAGTGACTTTAGACTCTTTGACCAGTAGAAGGAGGCATGAGGATGAGTTTTTTAGAGAAGAAATTGCTTTCCTGACTTCTAAGCAAGGCAGAAAACCATAGGTGCTTCTCATATGCCTTTATGCCTAAACCAGGGAGTCTGCATTCATAGCAAAGGAAGTCTTACCCCAAAGGGAGGCTAGTGAGAGATACCACCAAATCAAAGAGTTTATGTAGGTCAAAAGGAAGAACAAGGCTGAAAAGTGAATGAAGCTTGGCTTCCGGATCACACATTCTCTCCCCTTTCTCTGTCCACGAGGGCAAACTAGAGACTTAAGTTTTTGCTTTTGTTGGCTTTACAAATTCAGCTCATGGGTACAGATGGGGATTTACAAACCAAAACAAGGACCTGTAGCAGTGGCTCATAAGCCTCTCAGCACTTTAGGAGCAGAGGCAGGAGAATGAATTGGAGCCAGGAGTTGAAGACCAGCCGGGCAACATAATGAAATCTCATCTCTACAAAAAGTTTAAAAAATAATAACCAGGCAATGGTGGCACATGCCTATAGTCCCAGCTCCTCAGGAGGCTGAGGCCGGAGGAGCGTTTGATCCCAGGAGGTTGATGTTGCAGTGTGCTATGATTGTACTACTGTAGTCTAATCCAGGGTGACTTTGTTACACACACACACACACACACACACACACACACACACACAGCGAAAGCTGTAAGTGCTCTTCTAAAAGCACTGCATGTTGGAAAATTAGACTAGGAGGCACTTTGACAACTTTTTAGACCACAGATTTCTGGGGAAGCCAAAAAGAGCTGGGGTGGCAAAACTCGGAGCACAAGGAATGCCTCACAGCTGTGCTGGGGGACCAAGGGTGTGGAGAATAAGCCAGGGACCAGGAAAAGGCTCAGCCTCCCATCCCCTATTACTGTCAGTCTTGAGGTGTGGCTGCCATTCTCTTGCATACCCAGTACTCCTTGCTGGGATGCTGGGATCCCAGGGGTAAATGCCAAACCTAGCTTCATCCCTTCCTTAACCCCCCACAGTACTTTGTTTGCATTTTTCTTAGGGTACTCGTTGCCCACCTCCCTTTAATCCTTCCAAAAACATGTGCCCCAATGCCAAGGGCATCTTCCCTGCTTCTGCATCCAGGAGCTCTTAAGTCTATACAAATTGAAATACACATTCAACATACCCTTGGGGATTTGATCCAAATGAAAAGCGAAGAAATAAGCAGCTCAGTGTGAGCTCTGAGCATGTGTCCAGGCTTACTGTAGTGAGACACTGTAAGTAGATCTACCCTGTGGATCAGTTAAACTGCAGCTGAAAGCCGCAGGTGATCAGAAGGGTGGGCACCAGTTTACGTGGGGTTGAAGTTCATAATATTGAAAGAACCTTTTTAAAATATATCATATATATATATATTTATATGTAATTACAAATGTAAGATAAGGTCCAAGGCTTGGAGGTGGGAGGCTCTGAAGTTGAAATTTCAAGAACTTCAAGGGTAAATAGCCTGTGGTCTTTGCAAGTGGCTGGCAAAGGGGTCAAAGAGATAGGACTCACCTTTGACTGAGCCTTGAAGAATGGGCAGAATTTGGAAGGACCAAATAAACAGGGCCAGGAGGCAGGATGAACAAAGACATTTAATACTGCCAGAGGCCTGCTTGGAGAGCCTGTGAGCAACCCAGTCCAGTTGGACAGAAACGTTGCAAAGCACATGTGGAAAGAGGAAGGCCTGAAAGTCAGCTGAAGTCAGTTGCGGGGGCGGGGGTGGGCCTGGAGTGCAGGCTGACACCTCTGAATCGTATTTCACTAGTTGTAGGAGCCACGGATTTGTATTTTTTAAGTGCAGTTCATTTACTTGAAGAAAACAATGTTTTAGGAAGATTAGCCTGGCTTTATTGTGCAAGGCAATGAAAAAGGAGGCACTTACGGAGTCCAGGCTTGGGTGCTAAGGGCCTAAACTTAGATTGTTGATGAAACTCAGACTGTAGCTTTGCGAATGAGAAGGAAATACCTAACTCAATGGATTTTGGTGATTTTTAGGGACCAAGAAGAGAAGAATTCCAAGATGATTGAGGTTTCTGCTGAGCATTAAACTGTATCATTGAGAGACATGAGAAGGTTAAAGAGGGACAGATTTGAAGGAGAAAATAGAAGAGGAAGATTTTAGACATTTCAGACTAGAGGTGATGGGAGAACTATGAATTCTGAGACGGCAATAGGGAATTGAGGGCTGGAGACTGATTTGGTAATCAGAAGCACCCATTTATCCATTCATGCCATAGGAATTTGGTTGGCAACCTCTGGAAAAACCAGCCCTGTGTTGCATGTCAAAAGGGATGTAAAAGATGAAGAGGTCCCTCCCTTCCGTAAATTAAATTTAGGACCTCAAGAGAGAAGAGATGGAGGTGAAACGAGTGAAGTGAGGCATGGTCTGTTGTGAACAAGAATGAGCCACCTCACTGTGGGGGAAAAAGTTGGCGATGGCATCCGTCACCCATTGGTTTCCAAAGAGTATTGGACTCAGTTGACTCACCATGTGGTAGCCCCCATCCACTGTGTCCCTCCCCAAATGACAGGCTTGTCTGCAGAGAACAATGTCCACAGAGGTTACAGCTGTCCTCGGCTCCCTGAGTGAAAGAAGTTGTTACAGTAAATATGATGCCATTCATGCAGTGGAGAGATCACTGGGGAAAATTCCTGGATCCTGAAGGAGGGAGAACTGTATCTGAACATGGAAGAGAAAGCTGACTTCCCAGAGGTAGCTCCATTAAAATAGGGAGGATGTCTCCTAGGAGGTGAAGGAGATGTAACCCCATAGGGAAGCTCAACTGACTTTTCTCGTGCTGTTCCGTCTGTTGAGAATGGCTGAAGCTGAGAAGCCAGCATCAGAAACTAAACAAAGGGAAAAAGTAAGAGTCAAGGTGGAGGATAAGGGTACAGGGTTGAGAAGAGGAATGGGCAACAAGTCCACGATTTTCAAGTGAAGCTGAACCCCCAGCTTCTAACTTATTGTTTACATAGCAGTGAACTGCCTAGAGCTTTTGCAGAATCTATAGAGGTGACCTTATGCATGTTTCTTTAACTTCTATTGCTGAAGTGTGTTTCAATTTCCTTGCTTCGTGATACCCTTTCTGAAACTTACATGAATATGTGTAATAGGTAAATTTTAATGTGACATACGTTAATTTTAGGCATGTCAGAGTAAGCAGCCACTATCAAGGGAAATCTGAACTCCGCAGGGTTGGATCTTCCTCTCAATAATTTGACATCAAATGGTGTGTCCCATCCTTATAAGAAAAAACTGCCTGTGGTCTATCCGCAAACCATACTTGGGAGATGATTTGCAAAAGATGCTGTTTCTTAATCTACCTTACTCTCAAACTCCTTGGCTGCCATTTTTTTTTACCTTGCTTTACTTACATGAATAAAGTGAAGACAGGGAGGACCAGAATAAAGAAAGAAGGAGGAATCAAATTAATTTTGCTGCTTATTCCTACTTGGCCACCAAGATACAATAGATGTCAAGGCTGTGAGTAGGACGAGGATTTATAGTCATTTCCATGAGTGGTGATACACATGGCCCGTGTGCCAAGAGAGCTGGTTGGTCAATGAAACAGGACTTCCTGTGCTCAGTGCTGAATAAGCTCACCAGCATCCAGCCTGAGATGACGGGGGGAAGTCCAAGGGGCTTTGTCTGTCACTTGCAATTACCAGGATCAACCAAGCTAAGCTGCTTGTCCTGACTGCCGAAAAGTTCTCACCCCAAAGAATTTGGCCTTCCCCGATGCATGATGGAATCTTGCTCAGACATTTGAAGCTATTCTCAATGAGAAACAAACAAACAAAAAAAGGCGAGAAACAACAACAACAACAACAAAAAACAGATACAAAGTGGGATCCTTTCGTTTATTAGAAACTATTTCCACAAACTGAGCAATCTGGAGACTTAAAAGTTCTGACACGTGTGTGTAGGTCTGGCAAATCCTACTAGTTTACTCTCCTGGCTCAGATTCCTTTGTAAAAAGTCAGATGCTGCTGATGTTCATGAGGCTTCTCTTCGGGCACCAGGGTAGACAAGATAACCTGAATATCTACAACAAAATGCCTGGGAAATGTTGGGTACAACTTGTAAAACATAATTTTAATGCACAGCTGAGCTCACAGGAGGGTAATGGAAACCCCCAAGAGTCAGAACGCCAAGGGGACAGACCTCTGGAGAAGGAAGCCTAAGTGGCCGCTGGAGCACCTGGAAGGTAGAAGTGTACGGTAGGATGGGTCTGCTTTAAGAAGGCAGCTTTGAATGCCCACACCAGGAAAAGTGACAGAAACCTTAGGCCTTGCCTACGGGTTGTTGGAACTAAGAAACCCCTCACACAGATACATAAATTTGGGACTCTCTAAGAACAATACAGCACCTTGGGAGACTGAGACAGGAGGATTGCTTGAGGCTAGGAGCTCAAGACCAGCCTGGCCAACGTTGCAAAACCCTATCTTTACAAAAAATTTTTTAAAAATTAGCCAGATACGGTGTCACACACTACTTGCATAGTTCCAGCTACTTGAGAGGCTGAGGTGGGAGGATTAATCAATTATCTAGGACTCACAGAGGTTTTGAAGTTTAAATTTAAATATATATTACCCTTATATTTTGGGAATTCAAAATATTGCCTCTAAACCTAAAGTATCTCTGGGTGACCTTGTATAAGCAAATCACAACCTGGGTGACCTTGTATAAGCAAATCACAAATGTCTGCAGGACCTATCCAAAAGCCAGGCCTCACAGGAGTCCCACAGATAAAGCGCTGCTAAAGCTGAGCACACACTCCAAGAATCTATCCATTTAAACAATCCACCCCTCAGCCCACATTTTCTCCTTGCTCCTTCCAGCTACATGTTACCCCACTCCACGATACAAACTGCTCCTCTCCTGCAGCAGAATTAGACCCAAAGAACTGCTGTCCCTTCCTGTATCCTATTCCTTGCCTCCTTGAGAGCAGCCACTAAGTTCCTTAGAGCTCCCATGGATTGCTTATACTTAAAATACACCCCATGCTCCCACAGGCTGGTTTACAACCTCAGGCGCACAGGCGATGGGAATGACACCCACGACAAAAGCCTGAGGGCCAGCTCACGTCAGAATGAAGACTAGGGGACAAGTCCTCAGGCTCCTGGCTCTGACTCTTTCCACTTCACTATTCTGCTTCTCTCTTTCTTGCCGTCAGTATTGGCACTTGTAAGATGAGTTTTCTGATAGTTCCCAACCACGTTGGAGAGAAAGGATCTGAGAAGTCAGTTGAAACAACACAACAACAAAAACTAATTCCCCAGACAGATGTTCTGCCAATGGGTGATTGGCATTTGATTGTGTATTAGAGCCATGGCTCTTGTAAGCAGCTGGGGAGGGGTCTGTGGGGATTACCTTTCCAAGGGCCATTCAGAGGGGAAAAGCTACCTGTGCTCAAAATCAACCAATGAGGATCTCCTGAATCACCAGGAAGCCAAAGAGCCCAGGGATAGGGAGGGCATGGTGAAAGGTTGGGGGAGTGGGGGACAACAGCATAAAGGACTCTGTTTTGCTAGGAGCCCATCACTAAACAAAGTGCACACTCCACACTCCCTGCAGAGGCTGTGCTGCCCTCCAGGTGTGAGTGAAGGTGATGGCCTACCCTGCTAGCATCAGCACCACTAGATGGCTGTCAGCATCTCAAGGGGGCAAGACCCATGTCTGATTCAATAACCTGTATTCCGAGCACTCAGCAGAGAGCTTGGCACACTGTCAGTGCTCCCTCAAGAAGTTAAACGGATGCTGCAGACCAGGGCAGCCCAGCTGGGTTGGTCCAGAGGCAAGGGAGTGACACCCACTCCCTGATGCAGTATATCCCGTATACCACAGCCCTGCAAGTCCACATTCAATTCAGGCAGGGGTGGGGAGGGGACAAGAGAGACCTGAGATGGGGCACCTCTGAGTGATCCCCCCACAGCCCAAAGCACTGGCAGCCCCCTAGGAGACCCTGGAATGGACTTGCTGACAGCAGCCACGTACCTGATGGCTCACACGTCCCCGCCCTTTGGCTTATGTTTCCCCCCTGCTCTTTCCTGCTAAAGTGACCGCTGCTGAATGCCACCAGCCATGGGGTCATGCAGCTTCCCTCCCGAGCCTGATCCACTGAGGTTTCCACATGTGTAGTCATGGGCTTTGTCATGACTGAGCTGAGGACGCCTTCTTCCCTTTGAGACCAGAAAGAGAAAGCCCACAGGAGCTGAAGGGCAGCTGGGCAGCACTGTCAACGTGCAGACGACAGAGGCCCGGGCCTGGCTGGTGCCTGCTGCCCTAGCCAGGGAGGTCACCCGTCTCTTCCGCAGTTATCCTGCTTTGCCTGCTGCTGAGTCTCTGAGGTGACGCTCCTTCTGTCGTTGGCTCAGCCCTCCAACCCAGACCGCACACTGTGGCCTCTCAAAGCAATGTCTCCTGATAAGCTGGCCAGAAACAGAAGGGAGGAGAGTGGGGAGGAGAGGGTTGGAGGCGACAGCAGAAATTCCTTCCAGATTCTCTATATTCTGTGTTGTTTGAACACAATAAGCATATACTATCTCTGTGATTTAAATTCAAATGTCAGTGAAAAAAGTCAAAGCTCAGGCCATACTGCTGTGGGTTCAGAGAGGTTTGACTCAAAGCCTATCATGGGGCAGGAAGAATTTTTTGCTGGTCAGTATAACCAGGGCAGAGAAAGGTTTTTATTTCTTAAAAATGTTTTCTACATTAAAAAAAAGAAAGTCCAGGAGTCAAAACTAGACCCTCCTTCATTCCAATGGACATAGGTAGCAGAGCCAGGGACCCAGTCCTTGTGCCAGGAGGTGCTGGGGAGAGGCAGGGGAGCCTCGGGTGCTGCTGCCATGCTCCCCAGCCGAGTACAGGGCCCAGGAAGAAGACCCAGCCCTAGTTGGGGTGCAGCAGCTGCACATACACCCTACTCTTTGTGGTCAGGCCACACTCTGAGACCCAGCTCAGCCTCTAAACAACTTTCCCTGGGAGCCAAACTCAACCCATCCCAGTCCTGGCCAAGAGGTGTCACCATCATCACATTGAGGGCCAGCCGCCCCATCACAGGGCAAGCCGCCCTGACCCAGGAGGCAACCAGAAGAAGCTTTGCTCCCCTAGAAGCAGACTCCACGAGAGGCTCACTGCCCTCCTAGGGGGTCTCCATGTGTTCCCTTCCCCCATCCCAAGGGAAGGCTCCAAGCCTTGTCTTTACAGAAGGGAACACTGAGACCCAGAGACCGGGGTGACTCTGGCCAGGTCACAGAGACACAACCAGAACACTTTTAACACCAACCCCTTTGAAAAAGACATTTCTGGCACCTAGAAGAGATGTCTGTGCTCAGAGCCATAACTTCACTCTTCATACAAGAAAGAAGTTTCAGTTTACTCAGCACACTCACCCCAAGTGAGGTCAGAATTCCCTCTGACTTCATACCGGCAGTTTCTTAAGGAAGCCAGGCCATGAGTTGTCATTCTGAGGCTCTCAAAAAGGTGGTCCCAGGTGCTTTTTGCTGATATTTCTCCTGCTTTCAAGTAGCTTCATTAATAAATGAAAATTAATTAGGACCTTATTAAAAAGAGCTTTTGGTTGTGATGGTTAAGAAGAAGGTGCTGATTGGCTATTCTAGGTGGAGTCCTCAGCGTCCTCTCAGCAGAAGCTGTCGTCATGGACGCAATCATACATTAATAGGAGCCAATGAAGAGAAAGAACTTGAACTCTGCCTTCTCCTGGGTTCCCTTCCCAGGAAGTAATCCTGCCCTGGGGTGGAGCGCAGCTGGGAGCAGCAAGACTGCAGGGCAAAAAGGGTAGGGGAAGGACCTCATATCCAGGATGAGGGACTATCTACCTCAAAAGAGCCAGCAAGGAACATGTGGGGCAGAAGCCCAGAGGCCCTTTGTGACATCCCCAGATGAGTTCCGTGTGTAGGTGGAGCTCCAACCTGAAAACCCAGCAAGGAATTGGACTGGAGCCAGGAGGGAGTACCAGGGAGCTGTGGCCCAGCCCATTCATGGCCCAGCTTCACCTGGCCTGTGGTCTGCTTGTACCATGGAATGCGTGCAGTGGCAGGGAAGCTGTTCTCCATAATGATCACAAAAACTGACACCTCCTGGAATGGCTTTCTTTGGGCCTGCTTCTGATGACCGTCTAGATATTTGAAGCCACTGACACTGTCCACCTAAAACGTCTCTGGATTCACCGTCAGGGTTTGCTGCAGGCTGAGTTTTGTAACTTGGCCTGTGACCTGTCCTCCAAAGGACAGCTTCAGGTATGAAGGGAGTCTGCGTTTCCTACCTCTGTGTGAGCGGAGGACCTGCTTTTTGAGGTCAGGGTGATAATGCATTTTCTATTTCATTTAAATCGACTCTTGGCCTTCTGTCCAGATTAGTAGCAGGCCCAGTGTCTCTTCCGGGAACACCTTAGTCCCCCTGAGTTGTCCCAAGAATTGCTAGAGGTGGCTCAGTCCTGTTTCTCCTGGGGAAATATCAAACCTCTCCATTCCCTGGGTGAGAGTTAACCAGCCACAGTTGTTTGCTTCCCCTGCTGCTGCTGCTTCCATAGGATGCTGCTGCTGACCCACTGATCCCAAATGGAGACAGGCATTCCTGACCACAAATAGGATGGTGTTCTTGACGGTTCAGATCCCCACCGAGGTCGTGGATGCACACCGAGCTACTCTAATTTCATCTTTTAGGCTCATCTAAGGGGCCAGCCAGAGCCCCGCCACCACGTCTTCTCCCTGGATCACCTTTCTTTGCAGGGGCTCTCGCCTGTAAAAGCCTAAGAACAAATCCAGAGGAAGCTGGCCTGGAGGAATGCAGACAGAACCACTCTGTCTCCTGGGAGCTTGGAGTTTTCATTTTGTCCAAGCTTGCAGGGTCAGGCTGCCCACTAATCTTGCGGAGGGACACAGCTAAGAGGAACTTCTCTGGAGGTTCTCTTCCAAACAAAGATCCTGGTTTGGGCTCCCATCTATACACAGAAGTAGCATGACCCTGCAGCTTTGTTGACAAAACATTTGAAAAATGCACCCAGGACACTAGCAACCTGCCTATGTATATTTCTGGCAATCATTCCTGGTTGAATTTAAAAAAAAATTCTTGAAAATAAAAAAAGATGCTTAAAAAGTCTATGTCTCTCACAGTCAATGGTAACCACTTTGGAAGTGGGTCACCTCCCCTTGCTAACTGCCCTGGGGGATGAGGGTAAGGGATGATAGGGCCCCCTGTGAGAGGACATTTGAAGTATTTGTGCCATTGTCCTAACAGAACAGATGCCTGTCTGCAGGGCACGCGTGCATGCATTGACAGTGTGGTTCTCTCAGGCTTCTAGTCATGGCATTAGCCAGTCAGCACAGACACAGCCCCAAGGGTCCACATGCCCTCTAGGCAGACATAAGGTGGCTGGAAAGGCAGCTGCCCCTGCACTAAGGACTGTTAGTTCAACTGCACCATTTTGTAAACCACCCCCGACACCACCATCCCCGCCCCCCCCCCCCATTTCACAGATCTTGATTAAAGTAAAATGTTCCATGGGGGTTTGGACCATGAGAAACAGCCTGCCCGACTTTCTGACATTCTGCTGTAAAAAAGTACAGAGAACATCACATTCATCTGGAACATGGGCCAAACCAGCTCATCATGGGAACATGTTAACGTTTTCCCAGGCAACAGCCCCCAGACCCCTCCCGCCCTGGGCTATAATTGCCCCAGCCTGTAAGCAGTGGTGAGCATGTAAGCATTAAGCAGGTCCCCCACCTCTGCAGGTCTTATGCTGAACATAGAACCTGCATTGCTGTAAAGCCACCAACTCCTCTTTCTTTAACCCTCATCTTCCCTTTTAAAAACCTAACAAGGATGCTAAACCTTAGAAACCATGACCTTCACTGAAACTGGCTGAGTTTAAGGAGAGACTCTTAGTCATGGTCAGTTTCCCCTCTCCTCTGGCTCCCACCTCCCTTAACCATGCTGTGTCCCTTGGGGGATGAGCACACCTGGCTGCTTCTCCAGACACTAGTCCCCTCCCATTTCCAGCTCTGGGCTGAGCTGGCCACCTTCCCAACTATTCTGAATGCCTCTTTCACTGTTTCTTTAAGAATAGAATAATATAATGCATTTAACAGTGGAAAGACTATTAAAAAATGAAGTTATCCATACTCAGAAAGTGACTACATTTTCCCAAATATTGTGTGTTGCCATAAAAAACAGTGAGGCATGATCTGCTATAGAAAAATCTCCATGGCATTGGGTAGGGAAAAAATCTAGTAGGTGGATTATAATTATATTTAGGAAAAAAATATAAAAGGGGGACACAAAACTATTTTTTTGCTCGTATTGACATTAAACTGCAAGTCATTACCAAGTAGAATTTAAGATAGAGCACAATAGACTCCTCTCTGAACGTGATTATAAAAAGGACAAACATAGACTAGTCTGTTTTCCTGTCATGAAAACCCATGTACTCACCTCTTAGATCTAAAACTACATTTGACCATATTGCATCATCTATACGTTTTTTTACTGAACCATTTCAGAGGAAATTACCTTAGATGCTGCATCTTTAAAATGTTGAGTTTGCATTGCCTCCACATATTCCCCTACGCAATGCCATTAGCACCCTAACACAATAAGTGATTCCCCAATACCATATAATTGAGTCCATATGAAAATCTCAGTTGTTTCCCAAATGTTGATGCTGCTCACCACAGGCTTGGTCTAGGTCCTGCTGCTTGCCACATAGCAAGTCAATCACTGTGACATCAAGTATTGCCAAGGAAGAAGATTTTATTTGGGTGGTATCAGCCTCAAATATGTCCCTTCCCAGCAACTCAAGGATTTACATACTGGAAAGCAAAAACAGGAGGGGCCGGGACAAGGAGTTGGTCAATAGGCAGCAGGCAGTAGCATAAGGGGTTCCAGCATCTCATCGTAACCACATGTGGGAAAACAGGAATGAGGCAGGAGTAAGAAGTTGGTCAACAAGCAGCAGGTGCACCTCATTGTCCAGTGGCAGTAATCTGGAAAGCCTCAGTTCCCAGTACCACTTAGGAGGCCTGATGGATGGTTGGTTTCCTGAGAAAGGAACTCAGATAAGACAAATGTAAGTTTTTCAAGCTTCAGGGGTTTGTTGTTGTTGAGACAACAGTTTCACTCTTTCACCCAGGCTGGAGTGACGTGGCACTATCTTGGCTCACTGCAACCTCCACCTCCCAAGTTCAAGCAATTCCCCTGCTTTAGCCTCCCGAGTAGGTGGGATTATAGGCACCCACCACCAAGCCTGGCTAATTTTTGTAATTTTAGTAGAGACGGGGTTTCACCATTTTGGCCAGGCTGCTCTTGAACTCCTGACCTCCACTTGCCTCAGCCTTCCAAAGTGCTAGGATTACAGATGTCAGCCACCGCACCCAGCCCAAGCTTCAGTATTATGAGAAAACTGGGCCAGTTTCAATGTTTATTTATTTGGTTATTCAAGTCTCTTAATGTTTTTTAAATCTAAAACAGTCCTCCCACCAGCCCTCCTTCCCTGGACACTTTTAAATCCATAGCATGAAAGAGACCAAGTCATTGTCTTATAGAATATCCCTCATTTTAGATTTGCCTGATTGTGTCTTCATTCTCTAAACTGCTATAAACCAGCAGTTGGATTTAAAGGCTTGATAAGACCCAGGTGGAGGATTTTTGGCACCAATGCATCCCAGTTGATGCTGTATACTTACTTCATGTTGTAACTCATCATAATATCTGATGATGTCATGATGGGATCTCCTAGAATATATAGACAATGGCCAGATCATACATAAAAATAGAACTCTGACCCATAGTCTGCAACAACCAGTCCCGGAAGCCAAACAACCCCTGTTGCCTTTGGTCCCAAATGGCCAGGACTTGATCAATGCCTGCCAGTTTCCCTAATTCTTGCCTCTGCTTTGAAAATCCTTTAGTAGTACCAACCAGAAAAGCCAAATGCGCTTCCCTAACCAATCAGATAGGATACTCTGCTTCTAGTTAGCTCACCCACAGCCTCCAGATGTGGAAAGTCTTTGATCAGGGCTCACCTGAAGCCTCCTCTTTTCCCACCATAAAGCTTTCTTACTCCCCTGACTGCCTTTGAGTGTCTGCAATGGCAAGTGACTGTGGCTGAGTCTCTGGCTATATACCAAACTGAGAATAAGTAGCTTTTGCTCATTCTCATTTGGGTGGTCTACAGTGATTTCTGAAGTGAAGTGTGATCACAGTGAAGGTAGTAATAGACCCCTTACACTGTCAGTGGAAATGGACTCAGATGTTTTACTTCATGCCTTTCTTATACTGCTTGGATGTTTTCCATGTGCCTATATTCATATTTACAATAAAAGCATGATTTAGACTTTCGCTTAGAATCTATCTGTGGTTTTAAAATGACAAGGTTTGTTCTTCTTTTTATTAGGCATGTAGTTAATTACACTGATCTCATTAAAAAAATAAGTTTAATTTGAATAAAAGAATGCCACAGTGAAATACCATTAAAAAGAATGAAGGACCTTAACCCTGGGAGAACATATAAAAGCATATGGAAGTCACCCAGTTTGATGTCTGATGTATAGTGGGTGTTCTGCAAATATCAGAGCCCCTTCCCATGGTGCTGCACACTGCACAAGACGGCAGGGGTCCACCCCTTTTATCTTTCTGGTCCCCTCCAGTCATCACCCATAGTGAATCCCAAAGGCAGCAACTCCACCCTTGGTGCTAGAGGACCACCGATTCCTCCTAGTCCTCAACGGAAACCTCCCTGCCATCTTCTTCTTGGTGTCTGCCAACATACATTTCTTTCTTCACTTCCCAGGACATTTGAAGTACTTGGTGCCCCTCCCTCCAAGCTCCTCCCTTCCCTTCAGGTATCAAGGTCTCATTCAACAATTCAGGCTCAAAATACAATGGAAACCTCAAGGGGGTGAGCCCAGAAAGGAACTCTTCCTTGTCCAGTTCCAGAAGAAAACCATTATCTTCTCTAACCCCAGGATACACAGTGGCTGTTCTACACTCAGAAATCCCTGCATGTGATTCCCAGGGAAGGAGGCTGCAACTCTCCTGCTAAGAGCTCACGTAGCCCCCGGGCTCCCCTACCCCCACCCCATCCACGCACACCCCTCTCCCATCTTCTCTGGCCTTCTCCAGGGCTGGCTAGCATTCTGGTAGCACCTTTGCCAGGGAAGCAAGCTCCCGGGACATGCTTCACTTCGAGTCCTTGCCCCACTGACTCGGACTTGCGTTCACCTGCCTCTGGTCTCTTCACCTGGCAGCTTTGCATTTTCAGATTCAGCTTCTCCAGTGAGTCCATTTGCCACCACAGCAGTGATTGCAATAGAGGGACAGCACGTGTTTTCTGTATTATGTGAAAATAATTTAAGATACAGAACATTTATGTATGCATCTTCTGGATGAGGAGGGAACAGAAATTCACATTTGATTTAGCTGGTATCTGCAGAAAGCAGCAGTAGGGATTAAGAAATGGATAAAAACTGTGTTACTTTTTGGGATGAAGAGTGGCATGAAACTGAGATCTCAGTGTATCTATTTTTATATCCCTTCTATTTGAGGGGGGAAAAAAGTATACTCCAGGAAGTTCTGATCACCAAATCCTTCCAGAGATCCAGAGTTCGGTCTTCCAAGCCAAGGAGGCTTTCAGTCCCACCCACTGAAATAATCCAGTCCTTTTTTCACCTGTGTCAACCCCGAACAGAGGTGTGGCCTGCGATATCCTTCATGCAATCAATTCGGGCCTCCCCCTGGTCCTGGGGGTCATCTGAGGTCCGCAGCCTTGGCAGAGGAATGTTTTCTGCCAGCAATTCCCACAGATGGGCTGGCTCCCCCAAGTGGGCATGTGCACGATGCCCAGTGTGGGCCTCTGTTTTTCATCCCTGAATCTATCCCCCACAGAATGGTTGAGTTGCCACACCTACCTCTCTAATAAGCTTGAGGGTACTGTGTCCCCTGGGGGACGTCCCCATGTTGGAGCCCACGTGCTTGACCATGCAGGTGATTATAGTTCCTCCTCTCCTTTCCAGGGCTTTGAGCCCAGCACATGAAGTTGGGCATTTCTTGTTCCCCCAGTTGGCTGCTGTGGAATGACTAGGAAACTTCTTGGATGAGAGTTTAAACCCCATAGGATGCCAGGTGGCACCTGGGCACAGGTCAAACTTTCCGAGAGCATTTTAAACCTCTTTCACTGCAACCAGGAATGGCTGGCTCTCTGCTGCTGCTGCTTGCAGGGATTACAATTGTCCCATCCATACCTTGGTCTGTGGTGGCTGTTGTTACCTGGGCATGTGTGGCCACCACCTTGACTGCTCAGGTAGTTCCTTCCCTGAGTTCTAGAATGATGTCACAATGATGCCCATTATGACAGATCAGTCCAAGGCTGCACACTGACCCAACCAATCAACATGTGGGTCAGAGCTGTGATTAAGAGACTAAGTCAGTGAATTCCCAATTGTGAATAGACAGTATGAAGGCTTGAAACCTCTCTGAACCTGATGGGCATAGGCAGTGATCTTCTGCAGATCCAACTACGGCACAGAAGAGTGTCTCATCCGGAACACATTTGGATAGTGACACAACTTCATTTGCAGTCAGCTTGTCATCCTGAGCTCCCTTCCCAAGCAGCATGGATATTGCACTGGATTTGCTGACCAGGGAGTTGGGTTATAAGGGGTAACTCTTGGCCTCTTGTTAATATTAGCAACATTGACAGTACCATATGATCCATCTATGACACCGCACAGGGAAATCAAGTCCAGTGTTATAGGACAGGAGAAATGACTCCAGCCAGGATCAAGCATTGCTTTGGCATTGTTCCCCTATACCTGGGCCTTTCTTCTCCGATTGTTGGGGTAACTGGAGTGAGGAGCCTGAGGGGACCCAACGATGTTCTCTTGGGAGAATTTCCTCCCATGGTCTTCTCCATTTGTAGACATTTTGATTGGCTCGATTTCTAAGGACCAATTATCTGTGCTTTAACCTGAAATAAGGAACCTGCTTTCTGATCTTCAAGAATACATGGACACACACCTGTCAGATTCAACTCAGAGATTTTTGGTTTTAAAGGAACAATTGTGTTCATCACAAATGAAGGTTCCCTCAAGGAGCAGCCTGCTGGAATCACCTCCTGAGTCCAAATCTTGTACCCCTTAAAAATACTTACTTAGTATTTACAAGTAATAAGTATTTAGGGTGTTATGAAAAATGCAATTTGAAACGGTACATTGTTTCTTAAGAACAAGAGGAACTGTTTAGAAATTATACAATGTATTAACAAAAGTACTGAATATATCTCAAACACAAAAATGTAGAAACCAGTTACCAAACCTCAAGAAAAACTTAAACTTGTAAAATGCAAAGGTTAAAAGTATTTCATCTTCATTCTATTGTTGGCAGATAACCTTAATAAAAATGAGCAGTTATTTCCAGCAAAATGGCATGTAATTTTAGACGTATCACTTTTTATTTCTATGGAAAAGCAACACTGGCATGTATCGTTGCTGAAGGTGAGGCAGCTTTTTGATTCTGTTCTATTCTGAGATGCATATTAGACACTGGGCACACACCCCAGATGTGCTCAGGGCACAGCCTGGCCCCACAGAGCACTCCTGTCTGCAGGTGGGCACCTAAGGCCCTGCCATTCCCACTTCTTATCATGTTTACTTAGTGCTCAGAACCTCTGCGCATCTTTAAATGACTTCAGTGAGAGTAGATTAAAGTGGCTTAGATGCTCCTAAGCTTCCTCAGAGCATGTAGCAACTGTAACAGCAATTCAGAAAAAGGACAAAATTTATTTTACTCTTAATGGTACACAGCATAGGAAAACAGCTTAGGCAGTTTACTGTAACTGATGGCCCTGATGTCCTTGTCTATAAACTATAAACTCCCCACAGAAGCTTCTGTAAGTATAATGTTAAATAAGTCTATAAACACAAATAACAGCAGCAAGAAGGAGGAGGTCATCCAAATGCCCGGTTACAGGAAACTGGTGAAGAAATGTACTGGTAAACCCACTGCGATGGTGTGTGTGTGTGTATGTGTGTGCATGTGTATGTGTCAACTTGGCTCAGTGACAGTCCCTAGTTATTCAAGCTAGGTGCTACTGTGAAGGTATTTTGCAGATGTGATGGATATTAAGAAAGTATCCTAAAGATCTGGGTGAGCCCGATTCAATCAGCTGAAAAGCTTTAAAAGCAGAAGCCTAAGAAGGCCTTAAAAGCTGAAGCTTCCCTGAAAAAAGAAATCGCATCCTTGGGCAATGGTGTCTGCTGTGCCTGTGCCTGCGGAGTTCCATTCTGCTCATTCTCTTCCCTTTCTGACTGCCCAGAGACAACAGCTGTGGTCTGTGCCCGGGACCTCCCCGATTCTGGACTTGCTTAGCAGCACCTGCAATCTTGTAAGCCAATTCCTTTAACAAATTTGCATATACATAAAAACACTGGTTCTTCCTCTCTAATTAAAGCCTAATCAACAGCCCACAAATTAGAAGGGGGATGCTGCTGTTAGAAGGAATAAGGTATACATTTTAGTCCCTTCAAGACCCAATAAATGATGGTAAAACAATAGCAAAGAAAAAAACCTTATTTTGGGGTTAAGAAAGCAGACTGATACATAAAGTTAATTGTGCTCCTCTCTTAAAATCCTACTACAAAACAATAAATGTAATAAAAGAATTCTTTTAAAAAGACAGAAATTTAGAAATACAGAGAAAGCAGAGAGGCAACAACCACAAAATCATTTTAGAAGTTGAAAAGCAGAGAGATCAGTGGCAAATTCCTTAGCAGACCTGAGAATACCACATCCAAAACCAGCAGAGGAAAATGCTAAGAATCTTTAAATGTACAGAACTGTGGCATTGTTACCCCATAGACGTTGGGGTACAGGGGAGGCTTAAGTATAGAATGGGTGAAAGCTGGGTGAGAAACCAATTTCTACTTTCCAAGCTACGGAGACACAGCATGGCCAAAGCGAGGTTTCTTCTCTAGAGAGTATAAGAGAGGTGTGGAACTAGGGATGCCAGCACAGATCCAGAGAATGGGCACCACACTGAAAACGAAAGGATGAAGTGACCATATGCTGTCATGCTGGATGCTGAGTGCGAAGAGCCCCAACCTTCTTCCCCCACAGGGCTCAGAGATGTGGCCAGGCTGATCCTTCCCATCACATAGAAGGGGCTCCTTGGGGGAACTTGGCAAATCCCTGAAGACCTAACGAGACCACTGCTGTGCTTCCCCAGTGAACAGCCCAGCCAGACCATCCTACAGTGAAACTCAAAAGACCACACGCTTACCCATTTGTTCTAGACTTTTACATTTCCTTCATTAGTCAACATCCAACGATTATTTGACACCTGAGGTTAAAGCCTCTAATGTGCAAAACCAAGACCAAGGGAAATAAAATCAATATGAAAAAAAAAAACTTAGAGGAATTGGAATTGGAAAAAAAAACTTAGAGGGATGAAGAAAAACATACTATCCTCAGATAAGATGCTGTATTCATGAAACAAGTACAGGAAGATATAAAAGAGTTCTTGAAAATTAAAAACATGTTAGCAAAACTGAAAACTCAACAGACAAGACTGAAGGATGAAAGTTGAGTGAATCGCCACAAAATAAGAGCAACACAACACTGGAGCGACCAAAAAATGAGGAAACTGGCCAGACTCGGGGGCTTACACCTGTAATCCCAGCACTCTGGGAGGCGATGGTGGGCAGATGATGAGGTCGGGAGTTTGAGACCAGCCTGGGAACGTAGTGAGACCCATTTCTACCAAAAATTTTAAAAATTGGCTGGGCGTGGTGTCGTGTACCCGTAGTCCTGGCTAGCTGGGAGGCTGGTATGGGGGGAGTGCTTGAGCCCAGGAGTTGGAGGCTGAAGTGAACTATGATTGCACCACTGCACTCCATCATGGTGACAGAATGAGACCCTGTCTTTAAAAAAGAAGAAAAGAAGTGAGGAAATTATTCAGGATGCCTGACACATAAAGAACTGAAGCTCCAGAAAGAAGAGGAAACCGGCCCCACAGTTAGGTGCTCACAGCCCTTGATGTTTTGGCTCTCGGGATCTGCGTGTCCACCCCAGCCTCCAGCCTCCCAACTCAGACGCAGCAATCCAGACACAAGGATGAACACAGACTTGCTAGTTTTCACTGCATCCAGCCCTGTTCTAGACGATGATACTAGGAGAAGGTAAACCCAGTGATCCTCTCGTGGAGAAAGAATTCAGATTCGAGGCTAAGCCTTTCTCCTCAAGGATTTCCTCAGAGGAAATAGATCCCTCAAAGGAGAGGAGGACAGAAAAAGGAAGAAGGCAACATTCCCAGGAGATTCTCAGCAAATTACAGGACAGGTGTCAAGACGAGAGCTGGCCCCAGACTCCAAGGGCAGTGAATCCAGCCTGGAGCAGGGATTCAGGACAGACACATCGGGAGCTGTCAGCACCAAGATCCCCATGGGCTTTCCACAGGTCAGCTGAGGACAGGTCGCCTGGGTGATCCCATCCACATTCTTTCTACTTGGCTTATCTTGACACGATAGAGGAGCTTCCTGCCTTCCAAATCAGCTGCAGAACCTCACTCCATCCCACAGCAGTGCTCAGCTTTGACTTCCTCCCAAAATTGAGAGGTCAGCTGTGGGGACTGCAAAAAAACAGAACTCGGCAGCAGGCGACCTCCATCCACATTCTTGCTAGATGATCAGGTCCATGGACAGTGCGGTCACAGGTCCGGATGGTGGCAGCCCCGGAAGCCCAGGACGCATTCAAGCCTTGCTGCTCCCTAGCTTTCCCAGAAGGGGCCCTCGTAAATTCTTGGGGAAGAGGTCCACTCTGACCTTGAGATCACATTATGTTCTCCAGCAGACGTCATCCATCAGTGGAAACACTGTGCTTTCCCCACACAGTTAATCTGTGCTTGATGCTCCATGTTTTCAAAACTGAACAATACATGAAGAGCAAGGAAATTATTAACTATAGGTCAGGCTAACACTCACTTTGGTGGAGACGGTGGGTAGTGGTAGTATTCTGTTCCTTAAAGATGTTAACGCTATCCATTTAACTCTTTAAACTGTACGTTTATGGCCAGGCACAATGGCTCATGTCTGTAATCCTGGCACTTGCGGAGGCTAAGGTGGGAGGATTGCTTGAGCCCAGAAGTTCAAGACCAGCCTGGGCAATATAGCAAGATCCCATCTCTACTTAAAAACAAAACAAAACTATGCGTTTATATTGGATATACTCTATGTATGAGATGTATTGGATATCTTCTCTATGTATGATATCTTTCACAGTTGGGGAAAAAAGATAAAAACACATAGTAATAGGGAGAACGAAAGGGGAACCATCAAGAGGCCAGAGACTATATTCTACAAAGGGAGAGCAAATGAAAGAGGATGAACAGACAGGAAAAGGGTGAGGGAACCCACAGGCCAGAAAAGTAGAAGTGGGGCAGTGCAGAGGGCCCACCTGCCCCAGGTCCCACCTCGAGGTCCCCATCCACTTAGAGGTCCACCATTCCCATGCTGGCATGTGCGCCCTTGTCTGCGGTTTATGTTCACTCTGTCCCTTCTTGCACTTCATGTTTCTCTTCATCCTTGACTTAGTAACCCTCGTGGCCTTGTGTCTCATCCACCCCACAGAAGATGGCAGCTCAGCTCCCCAGAGCAAGCCTCTGGTTGGCCCACTGCTGTTGAGCCTCAAAGCTTTGTCTCGGCTGGAAAGACAGGCCTGCGGCTTTGGCTGGTGCTCAGCTCCTACCCTAGAGCTGCTCAGGGTCCACACCTAAGCATGAGGTCTCCTCCTACCTTGAAGCTGGGGTGTTCTGCAGCCTGTGCTAGGCCAGGAGCGAAGTCAAGCTCCATTCGAGTCCTGTTCCCCACTCGTATCACAGAATCGTAGCTGTTAGCATGGGAAGGGACCGCAGAGGTCATCTCATATTCAATTTCTTGGCCTCATGGCTGGAGCTGAAAATCTACTCTGCCTTTCCAGAATGATCTGAGCCAGCATGAGACAGACACCATCTTGGGGAGGAGACTGATTTGGCTGTGCCCACAACCCTGCCCCCCAGCATGGTCTCCATGTGGTATAGATAAGCCTCTAACCCACCAGGGCACACATCCCCCCAGGGCTGCCTGACAGCATGTCTTGGGCCTGCCCTGCGAGGCCCCAGTGTGCCCAGAGATCTCAGTGACTTAACTGCCTTCCATTTCAAAAACACATAGGATTGTCTTCCCCCTTGTAATTACAAAAGAAAACCAACGTGCCCGTAGAAAATTTGGAAATTACAGAAGAAGAAAATAAAATCCCAGCACCAGAAGTGCGGCTGTTAAGGTTTGGCATCGTTATCTGAGTTCTGTGAAAGAAAGCAGTCCTAAAACCAGCAGCTACTGCTCCAAACGCCATACACCCCCATTTGCCAGGCCAGTGACTGCAAATGATGGCACTGAGTGTGAGCTGTCAAGGAGGCAAAGGCAGGCCCTGTCCCTACGGACACATGGGCCCGCTCCAACTACCAGAGAGCCCTGCACAGCTCTGTGACACCCCGTAGCCACAGGTGAGATCAAGACTGCAGCACCATGGTGGAACTTTACCCGGCAGGAAAGGATGAGGGAGGCATCCACACCAAGTCTGCCCCACGGGCCTGGCCATCAGTGCAATGTGAGTGAGTGGTCTGCAGAACATTCTGCCCCCAAGCCCCTCCAAGCAAAAGGATCAGAGAAGGAGGGCTCTGCTCTGCCCCGGGCCCTTACCACCCTGCAACATGGAGTTCAGGCCCACATGGGCTGTTCCGGGAGCCCAGCAATGCTGGGTGATCTCCCAGTATGATGCTGTCAGGTATCACAAAGCAGCCCCCATGCAGGTGGGGCCCTTCCCAGCGGGGAGCCCCAGACAGGGATCTGACTGAGAAGGCTGCCCAGAGCATTCAGCTCACTCCCTTTTGATTTTCCCAAGCCTGCGGAATTGAATGCGAGGGCCAGAGGGCAGGCTCTGGGTCTCACACAGATGGGCTGCCTGGCTGCAGCCACCAGCTCACACCACACTGGACAGAGGGGAGGCAGGGAAAGGGAGGAGGGAGTGAGAGGCTGATGCAGCAGGTAGCAGGGACTGTGGATTATCGTGAGAGCCAGAAAGAACCCACACATCAGCCAACTCCAGCTACATGCTGCAGAGGAGAGAAGCTGTCTCAAGTTTAGAAATATGAGAAAGCAGAGCGAATAGGAAGAGATGAAAAACTTGCATCTTCAAACATAACCTTACAGAAATTGACCTTTATTTGTTGTACTAAAGCCTGTTTAACTTTTGATACAAAGTAACATTTTAGTACAGAAAATCCCAGTCTGTCAGCTCAGTACCTGTCTGTGCACACTGTACCATCTCAGTCCCACATTGCCTGCAACTCAGAAAGCAGCCCCTGCCCCCAGAGGGTCTGTGAGTTAATACCTTAGGAATAGTCTACAGTTTTTCATAGTTTGTCTGAGCTAGAAAACTTGTACCTGTAAAACAAAGGACAGCATTGGGGACTGAAACTTGTCTCTTTTTTGAACAACTGTGCAAGAAAATATATCCCTTTTTAAAAACGGCAGTTATGGCTAAACTACAATCTAGTGTCTAGAATTACAAAGAATAAAATGAAATCAAGGATTTCTCACTAGTAAAATGAAATGTTAGGAACAGTATTAAAATATAGGTCCTACCCCAATGACACTTACACAGAGCCCAGTACAGTACCTATTATTAACAGGACGCACAGCTTAAGGAGGAACCACATCAAATCTTCAGCCAGACATATCCAGCCTCAGAAGTGCAAAAAAAAAAAGCCCCCAAACAAAGACACCCACATGGAGTAAGGTGCATGCCGTGAGTGCTGTAACCAAGATTACGAAGACCTCAGTTTTCCTTTAGATTGCTGATGGTGATCACACTAACCATTATGCTTCCCCGAAAAGCTCTCGATTCAACGTCTGAAATATGAATGTTTTCATATCAAAAAGAACTGATGTACCTGCCACCCTCTATAAAGTTTAAGAATTACCCTGCAAACATTGCACTGATGAAGGCTGTCACGACTTACTTACAGAGCCTAAGGAGGACCCGATGGCAGGCATCAGCACAGCTGAACACCGCCAGGACCCACCACGGCCTGCCCACATAGCTCTCACGGAGCAGACACAGTGCTCAAGCAATAAGCACAGATGGAGTAGAAACAAGAGGCTGTGGAAGGCAGGAGAGAAAGGCCGAGAGACGACTTTGTAAGAACATCAAAGTTGCCTTCCCCAGTATGGGAGGAAAATGCCAAAGGCACTGGTTCTGCTGCCAGAGGCAGTCTGAGCACCTGCAGTTGTGAAGTCCTTCCAGGAAAGGTGCCACCGAGGAGCAGGAGGTTTGTCAAAGCTCTGGTCCCACCGACAAGAACCTCCCAAAGCAAAGCAGCCCCCATTGAGGTTCCAAGGTCGTTTTGCTGAAGACGGGAACAAAATCCATACCAAAGCGATGGGGCTGACAGAGGGGCAGGGGCTGGGCACCGGCAACATGGGGCCGTTCAAGTAAACATAAACCACCAAATACTTAGAAAAGGCTTGTAAACGAGTGATCCGAAAGGTTCTCTTTGCAGCATCTCTGATCAGCTGGCTAAAGAAAGGTGGGTGCTGAACCCCTGTAATCCAACGTCTTTAGTGTTATCTGTTTTGTGTTAAAGCACGCGTGTGACGGGCAGAGTGTGCGGGCCTGGGCCTGGATCACAAGCAGCCATGGCCTTCTTGTCTACAAAGGAGGTGCTTCTGGGTCCTGGTTCTGAATCCTTCCCCTGCATGTTCACAGACGGACAGACTTCTACTTCTAGTCACTAGAAAAGAGCTGAGCCTGGCGTCCCCTCAGGCGGCCTGCTGCAGGCATCCATAGCACGGCATTCTTCTAGAGCGGGCAGGCTGGAATCCACAGGACTTTATTTTGTTCTTGATTGACCATTGCCAAGATCTGAGGGCAAATGCTCGACAGGGCTCCTCCCTGGATGACTCCTGCAAAAGAGCCCCCCCAGACACATGTCACTGAGCTCGGAATAAGACCCCGGGTTTGAGGCAAGTCAGTAGAGCCTGCACTCTTTCTACTGCATGGCTGTCTGCTCTGAGCTCCTTGGCACTCTGCCCCATCCCTACCTGACTCTCCTTTAAGAAAATGGCCCCTGGTGAGTTGACCGCTTACATGTGAACTGCCCAGCCCACTGCAGTAACACCCTGGGTTGGGGCTGCGATAGTTGGGGGAATCCCCGGACATCAGGAAGAAGTTTGGGGAGCATGTGGCGGTGGCAAGATCCTGCAGGAAATGACGACAGGTGTAAGGAGCCAGATATCTCAAGGCCCAGTAGAGTCACGGCAAGACGACAACTCTAACTTGGGCCAGCTCCGTACGAGGCCAGGAGTTTGGCATGGGTCTATAGACACCAGCCAGGGCTACTCCCAAGTGTTCCCCACAAAACGGCACCTGGACACAAACCAAGGCCCCACAGCAACAAGGCACGCTCAGAAATTGACAGCTTTTAGAAACTGCTATGGAGTCATAATTTTGTCTATTGAATCTAACAAGACAAGAACAGGGCTTATCTTTTTCAAGTGTCAGAGTTTTACATTTTCATCTCTCTAGGAATTGTCAGTGTATTTGGCTAAGTCCCAGCCTATAAGGAATTGGAAATGAAAGTACATGCATGCACATATACCCCCTGCACACACACAGGCATGCACACCTGCACAGGCACACATCTACACACACACGGGCACCAAGTCCAGGTCCCTGGACTCGATCATAACCCTCTCCAAAATGTGCTTAGAATCCCTGTCCCATCCTCTGTGACTGCAATGTTAATGCCCTGCAAATGAAAGACTTTCCCAAAGAGGCTGAAGGCTGGAAGGTAAAATGGAACCACACTTCACTGAGTTTGTTTCCATTTGAAGACCAGAGACAGTAAGGGGGCAGCGTTTTTTTCCTTTTTTGGTTGTTGTTTGCGAAAGCCCACTGCAAAAGTCATCCGCCCTGGAGGATGCTAGGGACAGATGGCCATAGCCTCCGCAGTCCACACTGCTGGCACACTGGAGGCTGCTCCAGTCCCCGCCCTGCCCAGGGATGCTGTGGCTGCACAACATGGCACCTACGCTGTGAGGCAGACCCACCGCTGCACATGTGAAAATGACCAGGCAAGCCAGGCAGGACCTGAGGCCACGATTAGCAAACTTAACATTCAACCTGGGAGAATCCCGCCGCTGGCCAGGGACTGCAGTGGGAACACCTCACTTAAAATAAATATGCTCATGATGGCACTCGGAAGCACCTAGGAAGTGTAGATTTCTCCACAGGTAAGAAAACTGTCTTGGGAAGCCTCTACTTCCTTCCCTGCGGCCTGCTCCCCACTCCAGGCCCACGCACACCTACCTGTGAAGTACCTGCTGTACTCCTGCTCGACCTTCTGCGCCGCCTCAAACTGCTCTTTGGAATGCCTCTGAGTCACCTTGTCCCTCAGGTAGATGGGGTCTCTCTGTTCCCTGTGGGGACAGCCCGACCGACACCAGGCTGAGCACTGAGCCTCCTCCAGGCCCTCCTTCCTTCCTCTGTCCAGGCTAACAGGGGCCGCACTGAGGCAGGGGCAGGCTGTAGGGGGAGGCCCCATGTGCTCTTCACATAAAGCAGAGCAACAGCCTGTAGGCTGCGGGGGCAGCTCTGGGCAGAGGGGGGCAGCTCTGGGCAGAGCGGGTAGGGAGGGCACCCCAGTGCATGCACTTGGAGCAGATGCACCAGCAGTTCCCAGCATAGGTCCCAGGGGCTCAGCTGCACAGAAAGGCAAAATGGAGCAGGGCCTTGGCGAGCTCTTAGCCCAACCAGCACAGGAGCTAAAGCTCAGCAAAGGCCAAAGCTCCCGAGTCATGAGCCAGCTTGAGGCTGAGTGGGACTCTGTCCAGGCCACCAGCTCCCCTGCTCCTAAGCAGCACATAGAGAGGAAAGGGGGCTGGGGCAGGAGGGGACGTGCGCAGACCAAGCTGGCCATGCACAAGGAACGGCGGCAGCACCCAAATGGCAGAGGGTGCGGGGACAGGGCTGCGCTTGGCTGACATGTCCTCTCCATGAGTGGGGCACAGGACCAAGAGGGAAAGGTCATTTTCTACACGTGCTGCCTATTTCAAGACCCACAGGCCCATCCCTCATTCCTCAACCCCCCCCACCCAACATACCCTGCTCCCTACTTGGGCTCCCAGCCCCACCTGTGACAAGAACCCAGTGGAGCCCAGGGAGCCAGTCACCTACTTGATGTGCTTGGCGCTCTTGTAGTGGATGAAGATGACAATGGGGTAGATGTGCATGTGGTGTAGCCGCTCAATAGCATGGGGAGCGATGTCCAGGAGGCAGTGTCGGTTCTGGGGGCAGAGGGCACAGAGTGAACCGGGGGCAGTGAGGGGCAGCCAGCCCTCTGTCCTGCCACCAGTGGGACCCACCTCACCTCACAGGGCTCTGCCTACAGACTAGGCAATAAAGCCACCCGGTGCACTGTGGGGAAACCGTACCCGGGAAACTCCCACTGGCTGTGATGAAGGCCAAGGCTGGGAGCCAGGGCTGGGCAGGGCTGACTGGGCCTGGCCAGCCCAACTCCAATCTTCCTTTCCTGCCTCTGCCCAGATACAGGGCCCTTCTGAAAGCCCTGCCCCACCCTGGCCCCTGAAGCCTGATTTTTGCCAGACTGAGAGAATGAAGAGCGAGTCTGGTGAGCCTTTGTGTGGCTGGGACTGAAGTAAGTCTGTGGTCCCAGGCCTCAGAGTGCAGGCTTGTGCGTTCCCAAACCCGACGCTCCTCAGGGCCGTTCCCCTGACTACAGCTCACCCACTTTCAGCAGTGAGAAGCCAACACCTCCATCTAACAGAGAAGGAGAGCAAAGCCCAGCAAAGCGAGCTGAGAAACCTGGAGAAATAGAGGCCAAAAAGCGCCCGTGTCCCCGGACTCAGAGTGCTTGCCCCGCCAACACCCCCGACGGATGTCCCCAACCCTGTGCTGCCTAGGAAGTTCAAAGGCATCAAGAGACATAGCCCTTTTAGGGGCAGGGACCTTGACGGAAGGTGCACACCTGTCCCCAGAAGGTGCATGTGAAATTGTTCGGCATGTGCATCTGGGGACCCTGTCCTGGGATGCCCTGAGAGAGGCCTCTCTCCAGAGCTTAATACACTTATCAGAGGTGAGACCTCCCCCCACAGAGAGGAAGAGGGGACGGCACACACACAGGGCAGCTCCTCCACACCTGCCAAGGGGTGTGCTTGCAGAAACACACAGCATCCATGAGGGCAAGCCCAGCTACAGGTGAACTCAGACTAACATGACATGGCGGGTTCACTGAAGGTCTGAGAGCCGCTGGGGCAGAGGATCACGGACCAGGGGCCCAGACCTGTGCACAGGAAGTCTCACACTGGATGTTCCAATGGGTGCCCAACCCTCGGGCTGAAGCCCTGGGTACCTTTTCTGTGATCTCCTTTATTGACGCCACAGTGGTCACATCGAAGTGGCCACTTCTCCGCTTATAGTCGACAAACAGGCAATCTTTGACACCTCGCTCAATGGCCTGCTGGGAGGCCTTCATCACCTCTGTAAAGCACAGACACAGGAATCAGGGAGCCCCAGGCCCTGCTGAGCCCCAGCAGAGGGAGCAGGGGAAGAACAGGGCTCAGCAGCTGTCAGTAACCTAGTCCTGCCACGCATGGATCTGACCCATGTCAGGAAGCTTCTAGAACACTGTGGAATCCGCCCGGAGCTGCTGCCCGCTGTGCACAGCTGCGCAGGCACGTGGACAAGGACACAGAG